TAAAACCAGGTTGGAGCTCTAGAGCTGAAAACTACTAGTTTGAATGAACTATAATGCTAATAATATTGAGAAATACTATGTCAAATATAATTTCATTTTGTTTTGATGATATAATCCTTAACACGTATGTTCAATCTGAAAATTGTGGCAAGGATATGACACTAAGAAAGAAAACTTCTATCAAAGTTTCAAGAAATGTGAGGAACATAAATACAATAGAACTTTAAATAGGTATCCAACCAAACTTTTATTGGGGTTTTATTGCAATCTACTTTCAGTAATCATAAGGAGAACTTTGATCAGATTTTATTTAACAAAACAGTTTTTCATGAATGCTTAAGGTCAGTGTATTGTCAGTTCAGTTTCCAGTATCAGCTTGTGTACCTCATCATGGAAATGTATGCCAGAATGACAACAGTAAGGCATTGCAAGATCCTAAACCGTCTAAGATTAAACTGTACTTTACAGATTATAATTTTTAGGCCAATAAAGTATACTAACATTCTACAATAAATAAGAAATTTAAAAATGTGTTGCTTAGCCCTTGTTTAACTAAATTCAATTATTAGCTTACTCTTTAAGTACTCCAGTTAATAAAGGTTTGATTGTACTTCAAGAACTTTGACTTTTCCAAAGATACAAAATTAGTTCTTATCTGTTATAAACAAAAATTAGGCTTAAAAGCACATTCACACTTGTCCTTAAAAGCACATTTACATCATATAGGATAACCTCTGGAGACACGGCTAAACTGGCAGAAAGAGACATAGAGACAAAAAGAACAATTGGAGGGCAATCTTCCCATTTCCACTTCCTCCAAAAAGCCACACCTGGTCTCCGTGTACAAGTTTTAATTTATTGCCATGCTACAAAATGTATGAAGTTGGCACTGATAGGGAGAAATGAGAATAAAGAGTGAAAAGGGATAGAGGGCAAATGACGTCTTTACATATACAACAAGGTTTTACTTTAACAGTGGTGAGTTTTGCCAATATTAAAAATGCAAATCAAAATTTAAAATGCTGATATGAAACAGCATTAAAAATACAATTTATGCATAGTACAGTATCACATATCTTTTATTAGATAAATATGGAATGTTTATAAAGAAATTAATCATAGGGGGTAAAATTCATATTTCATATACAATTTGGCAATGGTAGTCCCACTGTTAGACAACTTTTTATAAAAGAAAAAATTAAAAATCTAATAAGCTACCTTTATATAAAGTTGCTATATTTATGCCTTTATGTAGGAAAAAAAACCCTTAACATTTATAATGCAGATTAGGACACACAATAATCTTACAATATTATACAATGTAATGAAAATAAAAACACAACACAAAATCTGTCCTTTATAAAATGCATATTTTGCATTTAGGAATGCAAATGTGGCACACTGGTGACTACTGTACTATTAATACCAGTCTGTTCGCATCTATTCTTGCCCAATTGTCAGAATTGCAATTGAAATGATGCAACAAAAGAATTGTTATACCCCCCAAAAAACTAGGAAGTAGGGATGGGGAAAAGGGATGCAAAGAAGAGGAAAGATCAATAGGGCACTGGTTCAGGCAGAATATATTGTCGTAGGTCATAAAAGATTTGTTAATATTTCAAGCCAAAAACATTTCTATACATTCTGTTATTTCGTACCAATGCCTTTATTCAAATTTGGCAAACATCGGGGCAAGGTAATTAGTACCATATACCTCACACATCAGATATAGGAATGAGATGGCAATATATCAGTTACTTCTGTATGATGTCTTTGATGGTATGTCTATTTGCAGGAGATATATACACACACGTACACATGTATATACATATATATACACATATGTGTACATATACATACACATTATACATTGCACAAAACACTAGGACATTTTGGGTTAGAATGGATAGCACGAGGGAAAGTGGGAAGTACTTTTTAGCTTGTAAAAACCTTTATCTTGAGGCAAAAATATGGTGGCACATTATTGGGAAATTATTAAAACATAAGGCCCCTGTCCCATTTTTAATAGAACATTGTTGAGGTACATTTTTATATATTTTGCCACAGGGTTTTTTTTCCTTGGGGAGAGGGGATAACAAACACTAACTTGACTTATTCTTATAACGAACTGTGGGATCAACATTACTATTTATAAAAACAAAGATTGCTTGGCAAATTTTGTAAGTCCCTCTGTGATCTCTTCTGGCTATACATACTGGGAAGTGAAAAGCTGTTTGCTGAGTCTTCAAAAGTAAAGTGCATTATCTCGTCACTCCACAGCAGCAGGAAGTAAAGGGAACTATTTGCCAATCTTCATGGAGGGAGGGAAGGCACCATAGATTTTCATGTTAAAAGGAAGATGAAACTATGAAATCAAACAGTAAGAAAAAACACAGGTAATACCCACATCAGTTTCCAACCTTGGTCAGGGACAAATGCCATCAAGATCTACACTGATAACATAGGATACTGTTTGGAGAAAAAACATGAACAATGATTGTATTTCCAGAAACAGAAAGTGGAATCACCAAGTTTGATAACAAAATATCTCAAATTAGGTTTGCCTCAGAAATCCTGAGGCATAATGGCCACAATTAATCTTTATGTCAACAAACATCTCATTCAAAATGCACCTGGTAATTAGGAACATTCTTCCGAGAGAGCTTAATATCCAATACTAGACTACTTCAAGGACAAATAGTGTTCTAAATTACTCTTTATTGAACAGGAACACAAGTGACTTCCAGAAGACATCTAGAAATTAATGTCAGTCATATGTATCTTCCTAATACTCTTACAGTACCTACAATCAAATTCTTAGCAGACAAATTGGTCCCATTTTCATTTAAAGCACATAGTATTTAAAGCATAAAGTGTAATGATTATATTGGAGTTCCTTAAAAAATATAAAAACTAAGTGGAAGCTGAAGGAAAAGATGAAAAGCAAGAGAGAAAGATAAAAAGTATCCAATCCTGAAAATGAATAAATAGATCAACTCTTCCATTTGGAGGTGACTGCCTGTTTTCAGAAAATCATGTGCATTCATTTCACTGTAATTCTTATTCCACATTACAAAACCATCACATAAATTTGGCACAATTAGCAATCTACTCAAAAGAAAGCACATATGGAACAACATAATAAAAATGGAAACTGCACACCTTTACCACTGATATCCTTTTTTAAACAACAGCAAACTCTTTAGTAAGCACCAAGGTCACAGAAGAAAAAAAAAAATGCTATGCACATAAACCAATGGCACTGAAAATAATGAATACACTCTTAATCAATTGTTTTTGTTTTATAATATAATGGTCCTGCTCTATGGTCGTGCTAATCTATTATATTACTGTATAGGTTGGATGCTCTTTGACGGAAATGTTACATCTGGTAGAGCCAGATCATAATCTCAAACTTCCTCAAGTTTTGAGAAAACAGCAAAATATTTTGTAAGGTGACCTAACTTCTCTCTACTCAACCTTATCTTATATTCTCTAGTGTTTTGGAAACTGAAATACATTTGATTTTTCAAGAATTTTACATATGGATTCTCATCAGTTCATATAAACTTCAATTCATTCTAAATCCTTATGTATGACACAGTCTCATTGTTACAAGACTTTCACTGTACCTGCTATGCTGGCAACAAGATTAATATTCTATAGAATTTACGAGATCATCAGAGATGCAGCTGTGAGTGAAAGCAGCACAGCAGAGCTGAGGAACACTACAGTGGGCAGAGTACAACTGCAGCCATGTAACTGAGTGAATCACTGCTAAAGTGCTGGGGAGCGTGCCCACAGAGAACACACAGTACCTTTAGGGAACTTCTCATGTTACAGGTATCTTTCTATTTTTCTCTGCTGCTAAAGAGATCACCTATGGACATGAGTGAAATTAAAAATTGAGAAAATGTTCTTATCAACTTGAAAAGTAAACAGCATATAAATAAATACTGGACAAGGGCAACTCTGTTATAGAATAACAGTACGTTCCAAATGAACCTTCAAAATCATAATTTGACAAAAATGCAAACCAGACGACAATGAACATATAATCCAATCTCAAAACTATATACACACTTAGACATTTTAAATCGAAGAAGACATGAAGCAACAAAGTAAGACATCCCAAACACCAAAGGAAAAAACTGAAGGTAAATGGAAACCTAATGGCTCAAATACCTCCAGAAAACAATCTTAGTGTTAGTAATCTATAGCACAGAAATTTTCAAGAGATCATGGTTCGTATTTTCAAATGTTTTTGGATAAAGTGACCTGAGACTGACTCTTGAGCCTATTATGATTCTAATTAAGATATCTGGGCATGTCCTTCAAATGACATCATGAGATGAGTAAACAAAATCTTCTCTCCTTGCCTTTCTAGCATACCAACTGAAAACCATATTTATGGATATAGGACTCTCTAATTATGCTGACGGCAAAGGAGCTGACTGGTATCTAAGGATGTGTGGTACTAAGATTTTCTTTACCTATGTTTTGGCTCAAGTAAAAAAGCTGTTAATTAAGGAAATAAAGGATTCCTCATGTTACATGTTGGAGGCCACGTACAGTGAATAGTGAATTTATAAATACTAGTTTAAAGCCTAGAGTTCTCTGCTAGCAACGCACATTATCAAGAGGCTTTATGAAATATTTTAAATGCCAACTGTGACTTCTTAACATGACTGATATGCATAAGTCCAGAATCGTGATAAAAATCAACCAGCATGTCACTCACTTCCACTCTGGTTTTAAATAGGCACTGTGAAAATGGGAATGCTGCTGTACAATAATGAGTTGTATATAATGAAATTAGTGTTCTTTAATGAGTACCTGCTCTACATTAATTCCCTTTAGTTAAAGAAGCACATGAAATAGTCAGAAAAAAATGTCGTCAGTCTATAAAAGGAGTTAGTGTTTAGAAATAAAAATGAAGCACTTGCATCTTCATTTTTAAAAACTTCACAAAGGTGCAAACAATGTAATGCTTTTCAGGCTCACATGGGCAGATCAGTACTATTATGTCTGGTTTTCCTAGATGTACCGTCATCTCGTGGCAGTGCTTTCTGCAGATTGGACATAGCAGCAGTTCTCTCGATGTCTATCACAGCATACAGCTCTGTGCGCCTGGTAGGGGTTTGTGGAAGGGGAGTGGTCGGCGTTTTTGGAGTCTGAGGGTTGTCGGAATCGCTGCCACCTTCCAAGTCAACCTGTATATAATTGAGCTGCCTGTGTTCTAAACTTGGACGTCTGATATCAAAGTTAAAGACTGTCGCTGTACAGTCCCGACGCCTGGAATATTCTACTTTGTGAGCACTTGCTGGCACTGTTACATTCTCCGTATTTACATAGTTATGCATTGGATCTAGATTATTATGGTAGCCATTTAGAGAAGGAGTCTTTGGTCCTAAATTGTCATCTTCATCCCTACTTAACTTGCGGGCTTCCCAAACAGGAGGCAAAGATGGCAAATTTTCATAATTCAATAAAGCAGTTCTCCTCTGAGCTGAGTTGTTGATGTTCTGGGTATCTGAGGTACTGGTGGATGTCAGACGACCTCTCCTGACCCCTGAGGCACTAGGGATAGATAGCCCGTTGATATTTTCATACACTAGTTTGTTAGCAGAGGGACCATCTCTTCGTTCATCACTGTCATATCCAGTGTCCCATTCTGTGTTATTTGCTCCACTTGCACTGACTTGATCTCGTCCAAGTTGCTCCAGTTTTTCTTTTTCCATTAATTGCTTTTGAACAGGAGTTGGTCCTAAAACAAATTTGACTCCTTCGGGTTCAAGAAGAATCTGAGGGTCTCTGTCCTCTATACTACTTGGCTCCTCTGTTGGCGTGTTGCTTTCAGAAACCCTTGCCTCCAATGGGGCATGTGGGACATGCACACTTGCTCGGTTTTTCCGCTCTTCTTGTACGCCTGTAGTATTGACATAGGTATGTACCTGAAAGGAAACAAGGAAGTGAATCAGTAACTTGCTTAAAAAATAAAACAAAACAATGCCTGACCATACCAGTTAATTTTATTGATTAACCTTGTCTTAAAATGCTCTCCTACTTCAAAAGCTTTTATGCCTGTTTGGATGTTTTAACTAATAAAAAATGTATGTGTGTATGTGTGTGTTAATGTCTTCCTAAAGTGATAAAAGAATATAGCACCTTTAAAATAACACACGCAGCAAGGAGGAACACAAAAAATATTCTATAAAAAACTAGGAATAAAAATAAGGATAATCATTTTGATATTGTTCTAGAAATTCTCATCAAAGCATGTGCTATGGATTGAACTATGTTCTGCTACAAATACATATTGTTAATCTGAACTCCAACACCATAGATCTAATCCCATTTCAGGATAGGGTTTTCCTCTTTATGTTAATGAGGACTTATCAACGTAGAGCATATTTTAAATCAATTACGTTTGATATATATAAAAAGAACACATTTGGCACTGAAACAAAAAAGCACAGATGGGTAAAGGTAGATTCACATGGAGATCCTCATGAATGCCAACAAGGCGAGACAAAGATCCCCCTCTTAGACCAGACAGAAAGTACTTTTCCCTGTGGTCCTGAGCTTACCCTACAGAGCCACAACACTTCAACACTACACCATTATAATCACTGTTATACAGCAGCACATACTTACTTGTTCCTCAGCCACAAGCAAAGGATGTGTAGACTCTTCACCTACTGAAGGCAGGCGTGCACTGCCCACTGAAGGATGTCTGCTTGATGGATGAGATGAGCCATCTCCAAATGACGGATATCGGGGATATCCATTAGGTAAATTCTGAGCAGCAAACCCTGGAGCTGAAAAGTTTTTGCTTATTAGTTTAAGAAGAAAGGTAAGAAGTGGGGGTAGGGAAGAGAACAAGAATCAAATTTATACTGAGACAATTAAGGAAGGCTTATCTGGAAAGACAGCAGAAATTAGGACACAAACAGCCCCAACTCCATTTCTCCATTTATATCTGAAATAATACAAAGGTAAGTCAAGAAATATTGCTACTAGAGTTTTAGTTCATACATGCAAAGGCTCCTTCCAAAGAAAATGTGTTTAAACACATTTTTGGGATCAGTGGATGACTGCAGACAAGTTCTCTCAGTAATGCGCTTGTCTCATTAGGGTACCTTCAAAAAAAGGTCCAATCAAAACTGTAGCTTCTGAGAAGATCTGCTGGATCCTCAGTTAAATTCAAGGCAGAGAGATCAACTCAAAAAGTCATGGTGGTTTCTTTTAGAGATTCCAAAAGGAGCCATCTTGATAGATTTCTCTCAAAGGGTACAGGACTTAGTAGGAAGAAGCTTTAAGAAAATTACACTGCTGAGAAAGAGGCCAGAAAATCTGTGCTGAGGAATTTTTTCCACCATGACAATGTACCTGGCTCCTTATTTGAGGGTAGCAAGGGTTGTCCTATTAGAATTTTGTTGGGAAACCTTACCCCATCCACCCTACAAGCCTGATCTGGTCCCATCAGAAGTCTTTTTGCTCCCCATATTCAAAGAACATTTAAAAGGAACATGATCTGAGTCCCATGAGGATGCCAAAACTGCCATTTTGACATGGTGCAAATTGAAGTGTGCACAATTCTGCAAGGAAGGGTAAGAGGGATAAAAAACACCACCTTCAAAAGTGTATAAGCCTAGATGGAGGAAATATCAAGAAACAATAGCTTCATGTTCTGAGTGTGTTTAATAAAGGTTTCTAAGATTTTGCAGCAATACTTGTTGACGGCTCTGGGCTAAAAGCACACACAAAAAACCCACAAAGACAAACACCTCCACTGTGATAAATGTACCCCAAGAAAAATGCAGCATGGATAATTGCTAGACTTAACCTTAACCCTAACTAGTATATAGGTTTTTCTGTGTGGGCTTTTTGTCATAAACACTTTTTAAAAATTTGACAACCATTATACTTATGTGGGAGTCCTGGTGTGGAACTATAAGATAAATACTAGACTGCTAACTGCAAGATATACCAGTAGAGCTCCTCGGAAACCCTATAGATGGTCACTATGAGTTGGAACTGACTAGATAGGTCTGGTAGCGTAATGGTTATGAATTGGGCTGCTAATCTCAAGGTCGGCAGCTGGAAACTACCAGCTGTTTACTGGGAGAAAGATGAGGCTTTCTGCTCCCATAAAGATTTACAGCCTCGGAAAACCTGTGCAGGGTCACTATGAGTTGGAATTGACTCCATGGCACTTAACAACAAGAAGACAGCATTAAACAACACTTATGTTTGTTGTTCCACAGAACAGACCATCAATTACTCATATGCAAATTCAAACTGAAAAAAAAAAAAAGAATTTTCAAACTGAAGCTGAAGAAAATGAAAACAAGTCCACCAGAGCCAAAATATGACCTTGAATATATCCCACATGAATTTAAAGATCATCTGAGGAACAGATTTGATACATTAAACACTAAAGACCAAAGACCAGAAGAGTTGTGGGATGACATCAAGAACATCATACATTAAGAAGACAAGAAAGAAGGAAAAGGTCAAAATGGATGTCAGAAGAGACACTGAAACTTGCTCTCCAGCGTTGAGATGCTAAAAATGCTAAAGCAAACGGAAGAACTGAGGAGCTCAAAGAGCTGAACAGAAAATTTTAAAGATCAGCTCGAGAAGATAAAGCCAAATATTACAACAAAATGTGCAAAAATCTGGAATCAGAAAACCAAGAGGGAAGAACATGCTCAGCATTTCTCAAGTTGGGGGAACTGAAGAAAAAATTCAAGCCTCAACTTTCGTTATTGAAAGATTCTCTGGGCAAATTATTTAATGATGCAGAAAGCATCATGAGAAAAATGACAGAGTCACTGTACCAGAAGGAAATGGTTAATGTTCAACTGTTTCAAGAGGTAGCATATGATCAAGAGCCAATGATACTCAGGGAGGAAGTCCAAAGTGCATTGAAGGAATTGGCAAAGAACAAGGCACCAGGAATTGATGGAATAAAAATTGAAATCTTTCAAGAAAGTGAGGCGGCACAGGAGGCACTCACTCATCTCTGCCAAGAAATTAGGAAGACAACTATCTGGCTGATTGATTGGAAGAGATCCGTATTTGTGCCGATTCCAAAGAGAGGTGACCCAACGGAATGCGGAAATCATTGGACAATCTCTTTAATATCCCATGCGAGTAAACTTTTACTAAAGGTAATACAGAAATAGCTGCAAACATACATTGATAGAGAACTTCCAGAGGTTCAAGCTGGATTCAGAAGAGGCCGTGGAATGAGGGGTATCATTGCTGATGTCTGATGGATCGTGGCTAAAAGCAGAGAATATCAGAAAGATGATTACCTGTGCTTTATTAACTACGCAAAGGTTTTTGATGTGTGGATGCTATGGATTGTGACAAGCTATGGACAACATCGCAGAGTATGAGTATTCCAGAACACTTAATTGTGCTCATGAGGAATCTGTGCCTGGAACAAGAGGCAGTTGTTCGAACAGAACATGGGAACACTGAGCGGTTTAAAATTAAGAAAGGTGTGTGACAAGGATATATTCTTTCACCATACTTACTCAACCTGTATACTGAGCAAATAATCCGAGAAGCTGGGTTATATGAAGAAAAACGTGGCATCAGGATTGGAGGAAGACTCATTAACAACCTGCTATATGCAGATGATACAACCTTGCTTGCTGAAAGTGAAGAGGACTTAAAAAAAATTTACTGGTGAAGATCAAAGAGCACAGTCTTTGGTATGGATTACATCTCAATGAAAAGAAAACAAAAAATCCTCACCACTGGACCAATAAACAACATTCTTATCAACTGAGAAAAGATTGAAGTTGTCAAGGATTTCATTCTTCTTGGATCAACTATCAATGCTCACGGAAGCAGTAGTCAAGAAATCAAATGACATATTGCATTAGGCAAATGAGCTGCACAAGACCTTTTGAAAGTGTTGAAGAGCAGAGATGTCAGCTTGAGGACTAAGGTGAACCTGACTCAGGCCATGGTATTTTCAATAACCTCATATGCATGTGAAAGCTGGACAGTGAATAAGGAAGACTGTAGTAGAACTGATGCTTTTGAGTGATGGTGTTGGAGCAGAATACTCAAAGTGCCATGGGCTGTCAAAAGAACCAATAGATCTGTGTTGGAAGAAGTGCAGCCAGAGTGCTCCTTGGAGGCCAGGATGGTCAAACTTCGTCTTTCATACTTGGGACATATTGTCAGGAGGGAGCAGTCGCCGGAGAAGGATATCATGTTTGGTAAGGTGGAGGACCAGAGAAAAAGATGAAGACCTCCAATGAGATGGATTGGCCAAGTGGCAGCATCGATGGACTCAAGAGTGGCAACAGTAGTAAGGTTGGCCCAGAATCGGGCAGTGTTTTGTTCTGCTGTGCATAAGGTCGTTAGGAGTCGGTACCGACTCAATGGCACCTAACAACAACAAAGTTTGTTGTGGTTGTTAAGTGCTGTTGAGTCGATTCCGACCCATAGCAACCCTGTACAGGGTTTCCGAGGTTGTAAATCTTTTCGGGAGCAGAAAGCCTCATCTTTCTCCTGCAGAACAGCTGGTAGTTTCGAACTGCTGACCTTAAGGTTTGCAGCCCGATTCGTAACCACTACGCAATACTTAATGTTAGTCAATAGCAATTTTTGGTGTGTTACTCATAATATGACAATGAAAATGGGCACTTACTTGTAGGTGTTCGAGGTGTTCTGGGAACTTCCAATTCTGACTGATGATTATTCCTTTCTACAACTGGCTCTTCCACCACATTTATACTATTATTTTGCATAATCTCTTGTAGCATGTTGAACAATTCTTCTGCCCGAGCACACTTAAAGGCAAAGATTCCTATAAATGTAAGCCAGAAAGGGGGAAATGGTTACCACTGCTTCAAAACAGCTACAGAAGCACCTGTCAAAGGATAAATCTGCAAAGTAAGCATTTCTGTAAACCAGTGGTAAGAAATGTCTTTTAAATACGTATCTGACAAATTAATGGTATTTTTGGCTTCAAAACATAAACCCTCCCCACAAAAGTTCAAAGAATTATTTGCATTTGTCTAAGGACCCAAAGGGAGTCCTGGTATAATGTGCAAGACTGTAAAGCCATTTGAACTGCAAGGTCGGCGGTTCAAGCTCACCAGCTGCTCCTCGGAAACCCTATACTGGGTTGTTATGGGTCAGAACTGACTTGATGGCACTTAACAACAACAACAAGGGTTCAAAGAAAAGCAGATAAATACAAGACTGCCCACTTCCTCTGCTGTCTTCTGTTACAGCAGGGGGCGCACCCATCCACCATTATCAAGGTAAGCAGTTACCATTTGATAGGTCTCTTAGGTGTTTTATTTCAATTGCTGTGATAAATTTATAAGATTGGTAGTACCATTCCACTTTCATGTAGACATAATTTGAAGCCCAGCAGTGATCATGTAATTTGCCCAAGGTTATTCAGGTGGCAAATAGAAATGAACTCAACTAGATAAGTTTATTTGACTTGAAAGTTTAAGCTCTTTCCCTAACATCAAATTATACTGATAAAGTCATACAGGGTGGTTCAAAAAGTTCACTGAAAATTTCCATTATCTTTTAACACCAGTCTTCCAAAAACTTTTTGAAGCTCCCTCCTATAGCTAACTTACCAGGATTAGTAATTTCCTAAAAGATGACACCAGTCGAAATTCTTCATACAGAAAGCATGCATAATAAATGTTTATTAAATACATAGTTAACTATATCTTTTTAGGCAATCGACTTATTTAGTGAATTTTTCTTCTTTTAGGAGCAAATAAAAATATTAATTGAAGTATACTACACAGAATAACTAAGAGAACACTATTTAAAATATGACAGTGCTTGAGAAAAAAAATATATAAAGACTCTACCTACCTTGTCCAGTTTGACACCTTCGACCACTTTCAAAAGAAAAGAGATTTGAATCATAGCCATAGCGTCGCAGGCAGAGGTAGTGCCATTTTACCGAGTCCCGTTTGCGTGTGTATAAAATCAATTCTGTGTCTGTAAGTTCCATTATGCCAGAACCTAACTCATTCCCATCATCATCCACATTAATGACCTAAAAGAGAAGGTTTAATTAGTGCGAAGACAATTCTTCTAACTTGGTTGTTGTTAAATGCTGTCAAATCACTTCCGACTCTTAACGACCCTGTATAGGGTTTCCAAGGAGCAGCTAATGAGTTTGAACTGTCTAGTGCATTATCCTGCAGTGCCACACCTGGACTCCTCCAACTTGGGAGTTTTACAACTATCTTAACAATTCACCAGGGCAATGCATTCTTACTGACTGGGTCAGTTATTCACTTGAGTTAGTTGATTCATCAGGTGCATGTAATGCACATATAGCAATGCACTACCTGCTTCATAGCGAATTTACATTCTCATTAGGAGTCAAGACACACAAACAAAAAACAGCAACAGCACACAACCAAAAAACAGCAACAGCACACAACTGTTTACACTGGCAAAATACGTGAAATAGAGGATGCAAAGGCAATGAGCTGAAGGTTAAAGCTATTGGAGAAACCTTGATATAAGAGAAGCCTTGATATAAGGAAGGACTTCTGCTGGGCATCACATGTAGTTACATTTAGATAGGAAATAAGAGGGGAGGGCTGGTGGGTAAGGAGTTGTAGGACACATCATAAAGGCAAACGTTAGGCAGAAACAAATAAGATTATGTTTCAAGCAGACCAAAATAAGATCGACACAAGTTCATGCAAGGGATGGGTTTTGTACAGCAGAATTCCAAAAAAAGTCTAAAGACTAAAAATAATATTGCATTTACAGTGAACTTCTTATTGTATGACTGGAGCTAAGTAAAGTTTTTTACATGTATTTTTCTCATTTAACCCCTCATAATAATCCTAAATTGCATGACAGAATTTTGCAAGAACAATGACTTCTTCAATGCAAATACTTTTTTAAAAAACATAATAAAAGACAATTATACACATGGACCTTACTAAATGGAATACACAGAAATCAAACAGACTACATCTGTGGACAGAGACTATGGAGAAGCTCCATGCCATCAGCTAAAACAAGGCCAGGGGAAGATTGTGAAACAGACCATCAACTGCTCATATGCAAGGCTGAAGAAAATTAAAACAAATCTACGAGAGCCAAAATAAGACCTTGAGCATATCCCAACTTAATTTAGAGATCATCTGAAGAACAGATTTGATGCATTAGACACTAAAGACCGAAGACTAGAAGAGTTGTGGAATGACATCAAGAACATCATACAGGAAGAAAGCAAAATATCATTAAGAAGACAAGAAGAATGAGACCAAAATGCATGTCAGAAGAGATTCTGAAGTTTGCACTCCAGTGTAGAGATGCTAAAGCAAATGGAAGAAATGAGGACGTAAAAGAGCTGAATAGAAAATTTCAAAAGGTCAAATATTATAATGAAATGTGCAAAGAACTGAGTTAGAAAACCAAAACGGAACACACTCAGCATTCCTCAAGCTGAGGGAACTGAATACAAATTCAAGCCTCAACTTGCAATACTGAAGGATTCTATGGGCAAAATGGAGAACTGGTGTGGCGCTGTGGGTTAATGTGCCAGACTGCAAAACCATTTGAACTGCTAGGTGGTGGTTCAAATTCACCAGCTGCTTCTAGGAAACCCTACACAGGGTTGTTATGGGTCGGAATCAACTCAGCGGCACTTAACAACAACAACAACATGGGCAAAATATTGAATGATGCAGAAAGCATCAAAAGAAGATGTAAGGAATA